CAGCAGCCCCCCCCCCCCCCGTCCCACCCACCCCACCTTTCGGCTCCTGGCCGGGAGGTAGATGGGGCCAGGAGAGCAGTCCCTTCTCTCACCGGGCCCATCTCGCCCCGATGAACCGATGAACGCCGCCGGGCCGCCGGGCAGAGCCGTCACCTGCACACATCCATCCCATCCATCCATGAGACAGACAGAGCCGTAAAATGTATACATGGGACGGATGTTGGCCAATACATACTGCAGATACCGTACCGGGCGGTAGTTGACATGATATGTGGCAGGCCCAGGGCGGCCCGGCACCTCATCGTTATAGAACCGCCGACGCGCCTGCACACAAAGGACAAACAAACTCCACTGAAGACGTCCGGGCAGGCAGGCAGGCAGACAGGTATGGATGGATGGATGGATTCAAGTACCGCACCCGGGACCAGCTGCCTCTGAGAGAGAATGACGGCGAGTCCAGGCCAAAGGTGCTGTCGACTGCCCCAGGTGTGACGCCCCGCGTGAGGTAGCGCGAGCAACGCGTGTGCGCCATCGTGTTGTCCTCTTCACGCTGCACCCATTGCATTGCAGCAGACAGAGACACAGAGACTTTGTCATGGTCTCGCCTCCCTTCTCTTGTTTTTTCCTCTCGCCCACCCGTACCCAGCAGCTGTGAGCAAAGTGCCTCGTTTCATCGTCACGTCTCCTGCTCACGCTCACACGCGACACGCATGGCCTGTCTGCCCTTCGTGGAGGTGCCTGGCTCATCTCTACACGCGCCCTCTGCACCCCAAACAGAAGGCAACGTTTGCAATGGCCACGAGAGAGAATTAATGATTCCTCAATGCGTACGTACCTCATCCATATGGTATGCCTGACCCATAACGTCCTTCAGAGCCCTCCCGGCCACCTTTCTCCTGTCCCTCACAGCGGTGGCTCCCGCTGCCGTCTGCGGCGAGGTCAATGCGGCGTTGCACGTCTGCGACCTGTCCGGCCTCAGCACCAGCAGCTTATCGAGTTCGGGGGATGGGACGTACGCCCTGCACGCTGCCGACAGAGTGCCGTACACAGAAGAGGGAGGCGGCCCGGCTACCCGGCCGTTGAGCCGCGCCGACCTCCCACCAATGACGACAGCCCGAGCCTCAGGAGCCTCGCCTTGGTCGACTGGAGCTGCTGGTGTGACAAGGGTGTCCTGTGGTGACTGTGGTGGGCCAGGCCCTGGCGGTGTCACTGGATGGCCAGCTCGCATCTGGATGACGAGTGGCTGCGGCTCGTTGTAAGTGTGCGACTCCCATGTGTGGCCATCGTTCCCGCTCGGCATCTGGGGGACGGTAGCTGAGACGCCGGATGGCTCCTCATATTGCTGCTGCTGGTGCTGTCGAAGGAGACCGAGGTACGCCAAGATCTTCTTTCTGCAAAGCACCATTCGAATCAGCGCCATGGCATGCCATGCACCACAGGAAGGAGGATACGATCACACAGTACCTGTGTACCTGTGTATGTTGTTGTGGATCCCCAGGAAGGACAAATCCTCCTCTGACAGCCCCAGCAAGGTGGGTCCATCCGCCTCGTTTTGAAGGAAGAGCTGCCCGTACGGCGGCTGCATGCCGAGGGAGTCAATCCAGGCCGCGACGTCCTCAGAGCTCCACTCCAAGACATCGGCAGGAGGCTGAGGAATCGACGACATGCCTGTTGTTGAGTGGGGGCCCGAGACGGCTGCATGCAACGCACCCCCATCTCCAAATCACCAGCCACCTGACAGAGTCCCGCATGCTTGAAGTGAGCTTCAAGGCGGAGAGGGAGATCTTTCCAATACGGAAGGCACATGTGCGATTGGCCAACAGAGCCGTCGGTCTTTACATGGATTCATCCTCATCCATAATGGCATACCCACGCACACACGGAGACATCGGCAACATCGCCAACATGGGTCTTGAAACGGATGGATGCGTTGCACATGATGGATGAAGGACACAAACAACAACATCGACCCACACACACTGCAGGCATACTCTCTGCCTGCACCGCACCCACTCACTCACATCACACCCATCCATCCGCTATTGCTGCCCTCTGAATATCGTCCCCTTCTCGGCATTCTCCTGGACAAACTTGAGCACTTCGGTGAAATTCGGCACCGACCTGGCAACACATGACAACACACCACACCACACCACAAGAACTCTACAGCTGCAACCAGCCCTCGGTGGCCGCAGTGTGCCTTGACTGACCGTATTTCCAGTTTGGATCCGTCCTTGAGCAGAATGTTGAGGTCGCCCACATCCGCCACGCCAAACCCGCGGCGCACAGACCTGGGAGATCGACACACACACGAAAGCACCCACGGCATGAGGCTTGAGCGGTGCGGTACACTGTGGTTGCGTGCGTGAGTGGGCCCACGTGATGGAGTCGATCTCCGGGTAGATGACCTCGGTCTCGTCGTTGCCACCTATGCCGCTCGTCACGCGGATCCGGCGGCTCGTGAACTCATACCTGACGCATTCATACCACGTGCCAGCCAGAGCCATGTTCTGTGTGTGGCGTGTGTGCGTGTTGTCATTTCTCGCGTTGCCTGCCTTACTTGACCCAGATCTGCCTTGCGACGGCCCCAGCAAACGGGATGATCCTGATAGCAGAAGGGGGAAGAAATTGGTGTGCCATGCCATGTGTGTGCGCCGTGCCATTCATTCGCACCCGAGGACGGTAAGCACGGAAATGGCGGGAATGACCACCTCAGTCCACGAGGGCTTTGTGGTCATAAAGGCGGTCTCGGCCTCGAGCCTGGGCCCCTTCTCCTGGTCCTTCTTGACCTGCCGCTGCTTCTGCACCTGAGCCCTCTCCTGCAGCTTAGCCAAGCGACTCTTCTTCCGCTTCTTGCTGTCCTCCACGCCAGCAGATTTATCCTTCCAAGAGTCGTCCTTCGCCGCCCTCTCATCGCCTTCACTGCTGTCTGCTGCATCTTCTGTCACGGCCACAGCGGTGCTGCTGCTGCTGCTGCCCTGAACGCTCTCAGCTGCAGCCGCAAGCAGTGGAGATGCGGCCGGGCTGTGTCTGCAGAGGAGGGTGATGGACTCATCTGTGAGCAAGGACACGCATGGGCCGTCCGGGGGAGGGGGAGCGGCGGGCAGGCGTCGTATGGAGCCGCCTCTCTGGAGCGGGACGACGAAGGAAAGAGCCGAATTGATGCAAGAGAGGAAGATCAACAAATCGACGATGCACCGCGATAGCATGCTGCTGATGATAACTGCATTCGGCAAAGATCTGCCAGCTCCTTCAAGCTCGCATTTCCGGCTTCCCCTCCGCAGCCTTCAGTTTCCCTTTCTCTGGCGAGATGGAGTCAGCAAGGCCATTGCAACCGCAATCTTCAAAGATCTGCGTCATCGCTGCAGCGGTTTCTCTTGTCTTCGCCTCGCTCGCCCATGCATTCATCCCCTCTACTCCCACCTCCCCCCTCTACCCGCTGCCCTCCCTCCCCCACACACACTCGAGGCGCTTCCGCCCCGTGGCTCTCCCCCACAGCCAGGTACCCTCCACACACACAGCCCCTTCCCGGCCAGCCGAGGAGGTGCATCCGATAGAGGTGGAGGCCTGGGGGTCAGAGCCCGACCAGATCGACGACATGGACGACGAGTTCCGGGAGATCCTGGACAGGACCGAGGCCGCCGAGCGGCAGCTGCCTGAGGCCGAGGACAAGTACGCCAATGAGGCCTACGACGAGCTGATAGAGCGGGTGGCGGCGACGCCTGACCATGAGCTGGAGGTGGTGGCCAGCGCCAACTTCCAGTACCTGTGGCGGGAGGACTGGTACCTGCGGGTGTGCGAGTACACTCGGCTGTTCGAGAGGGACAAGAAGGAGGCCTTTGTACGCAAGGCCAACAAGGTGTGGAGTCTCGTGTCCGCAATGCTCGCTGAAGCCCTCGAACCCGAAGACAACGTCAAACAGGTCAATCGCTAGGGAGCTGTGGACCATCCTCTGTTCCCTTTGCTCGTATGTGCGTGTGTGTCATGTTTGTCAGGTGGTGTCAGCCATCCTCAAGGAGACGCTGGTGGGGCTGGGTGAGTTCCCCCCTCTCCCTTTGGACCCACCAGCTGACCGCCGGCTCCGCAGCTACGTGCAGCGCAATGTGGGCCGCATGAACGAGCCCTTCATCGAGATACTCGTCAAGTGGATCACACGGGCCGCCACACACAATACCGAAGGCGACGAGCGCAAGGTACAGCTGCTTCAGCGTGTGCTGCGGCAGTGGGCGGCGGAGGCGACGATGGAGACGGTCGACAAGCTCGTGTCGGCTGACCCCTACGGCCTGCCGGCCACGAGCGGCGTCAGCAGAGTCATCCGATGGCTCACAGACAGGGACCTGGTTGATCGACGGAGAGGGGCAGAGGGAGTGGAGGAAAGTAGTGTGTTGGATGGGGTCAAGGCGGACGAGGTTGAGAGGGCGCTGCAGGTGCTGCAGAGCAACCTGACGCTGAGGTACCGGCTGGGGTCGGTTGCGCAGAAGGTGCACTCGGAGTATGTCAGAGAGCTTATGGGGGCCGTCAGGCAGACAGTCGGCGAGGCTACGGGTATCCAAGAGACTGCTGCATGAGCCCGTATATATGGGTGTGTGAGTGCGTGACTCGATGGACGCATCAACACGACCTTCACAGAGGTCACAGGCACACTCACACGGCCACGCACTCGCAAGTCACTGCGTCTCTGTACAGGTCTCCATCGCTGCTCTGCCCCTCTCTACCACGTCCATCAGCCCCATAGCCACCGACACGCGAAAGGCCTCTTTGTCCCCCTTCTGTATTACGGCCTGAGCCGCTTCACATGCTCTCAGATACGGCCCCTCTGTCTTGGCCAGCTTCCTGGCGCCCCCCTGGGAAAAGAGCACGCCCGTCGGCTGTGGCGCGCTCTCCAGGCCCATGTGCAGTCCGCGGCCAAGTGCGTGGCGGACGATCTTCGGGGCGGTCGCGATGGCGTTGTCGATGTCTGCGATGAAGGAGGCGTCGTTTGTGTCGAGCATGATGGTCGCCAACGCGTTGATGCTGTACACTGCACCAGAGAGAAGAGGGCACGGAGGGAGGGAGACACACATATGGATGGGTGGACCATCGTCGATATATAGACATGGTGTCACTTTCCTCTCCCCCATGCCGTCGTACCACTGTCTTGCAGGACCGTGCCGATCTCCACCGGCGCCGCGCGTATCATCCTTGGCAGCTGCCGCACCACCTTCTCCCTCAGCGCCGCCTCCTCCTCACACACCGTGCCAGGGCTGGCCTCGTTCGCCTCCGGCTTGCCCAGCCCCACCAAAGCCACCAAAGCCGTCCCATATACCTGTGGGAACGACTCCCTCACCCCACCCGCCCCCTGCTTTGTCAGCAGCTCCCACAGAAACGGCAGCAGAGCGTTCCTCACACCGGGGCTGCCCAGGCATTTTGCCCAAGTGCGGAATGAGGCCACGGTGCGGACGAGTGCGAGGGCGATGTAGGTGGCCGCGAGGGCGTCGGAGAGCACGGGGACCGGCCGAGGGTCGCTCGTGGGGACCTCAGGCTGCTGCGAAGAGGGGGGCTTCTTGGCGTGGGTGATGGTGGCTTGCAGGAGGGAGGGGAGGAGGTGGGACGTGATCGACGCCATGCGTGGGTGCGTGTCCTCGAGCAGCATCTCGAACGGCCGCAGCACCGCAAAAAGGTACCAGAAGGACGGCACGCGCAGCCACGGCCTCCCCGCGTCACCCTCCGCCGCGCCTCCCTCCAACTTGATCTGCGTCCGTAGGGGCGACTGGTGGATGAACCGGGCGATCGCCGGCTGCACGAGGGTGGTCATGGCGTAGTCGAGGAGGGCTACGCTGGCGCCGTAGAGAGCGGCTCCGATGCATGTGATGAGCTGTCGCTGCTGGTGCGAGGGGTGTGGCTGGCGGAGCCACCAGTCCTTGGTGGTCGATGGGCGGGTGGCCGATGAGTGGGGGTCTGCACACATCACATGCATGGCACAGGGATGGCGAACCAATGCAAGGCAATGCAGCTAGCTGTGCCAGCTGAGCTGCCAGGTGTGGACTGCACCCACCTGCGATGGCCAGTCTGAAGAGCAGGTCGACGAGTCCCTTGGCGGCCCCGTTCATCACCGCACCCACAGGACCTTCACACATATCGCTGCACACAAGTGAATAATGGCCACCATAGCTAATGTACCATGAGCTCTCACCCCCGCCCCTGCTTACTTTGCCGTACTGACGAGTTTTGCTGCGATGAGGACTGCGAATGAGTGGAGGGGTGCTGAGCCGCCAGACGCCCAATTGAGAAACCGCCGCAGGTACAGCGACAGGGCTCGACGGCTCCCCTCACACAAACCACCGTCCGGCGCCCTGAAAGATAGAAATGAAATGTCAAGACCCGGTGCGTGTGGTGGGGGGCAGGCAATGTGTGTCAGCTGGCTACTTGAGTGCGCAGACGAGCAGCGACACACACGATGCGACGGGTAGCTGGAGAGACATGCGGTACATCTCCTCACCGCCCTTGCCGGGGGCCGTGTCAGCCGGCCGGAACGGGTCACCCTTCGCCACACACACACACATGTCAACCAACAAACGTGACCCCACTCTGTGTGTGTATGGGCGAAGGCGCTTGCCTTTGCCAGTGCGAGAGGGTGGTTGCGCAGCGTGGCCTCACAGTGGTCGCACGCCAGCCGCATCAGCTGCTCAGCTTGGCAAGGGCAGTCGAACACCGCGCTGCGGGCACCGCTAATCAGCAGATTAGTCACCAACAACTAGAGAGAATCCGCCAGCAACACAGGAAATGCGGCGGCCGTCCATCCACGTGTGCATTGCATTCGGTGTCCATCGACCTCTCTGTACTGCTGCGGGAGAGCCTGTGTGTCGTCTGCAGTCTGTCCACTGCGCACCGACACACCTGCGATGAATGACTTCGCAATATCGACCGACAGCCTGACACAACACAAGATTGATTGATTCCCTCTTTGTGCTCTTCTCTTTTCTGCGGCAGGTCTTGTTACCCGACGAGGCGGGCGAGTATGATGACGGCCTTCATCGTGAGGTCGCGAATGTCCTTGCCGACCCCGCCATACCCCTCTCCCTCCCTCTGCCGACACACCAACACGCCCAGCAGCGCCTCCAACGCACCGAAATACGCCACATCCAAACCTCCCCACTGCACCTCCGAACTCCCGCTGCTCGCTGCCGACGATGCCGACGATGGCATCGCCGACAATAAGAAGCTGATCGCACGATTCAGCAGGGCTGCGGGCGAGTGTTGCTGGCCCGTCTGTGTGCCGTTGGGGGTGTTGTGGGTGTCGACGAGGAGTGGCAGCAGCCTGGTGACGGCCTTGATGCTTGTGGTGATGGTGCGATGGAGGAGAGGGGTCAGCATGAAGATGGAGATGGGCTGGGGAGGGGAGCCCTGGGAGGACGGCTTCGCAGCCTTCCACACGGCACTGAGAACCTGCAGGCACGACCAACCACGGCACGGCCAGACTCTTCTTCGTCTGTGTGGGAGTTCTTCTCGGTACCTGGTATAGTCGCGCCAGTGAGCCCGACGGCAGGCCGTCGCCTTCCTGCCCGTCAATGAGGTCCATGAGGGCACCCAGCACCTCTCCCAGCGCACCTCTCATCTCTTCACGCCCCTGCCCCTCCCTCTGCACCGCAATCTCGGCCGCCAGCCCCTCACAGCTGCTGGACACTGCCAAAACCAGGCCCTGGCCCTTCCTGGCCACCTCCTCACTCACAGGCAGCGTTGTGCACCCCTCCGCCAATGCGACGGCCCACCACACCAGCCGCGAGAGGATCTGCCGCCGGCAGGCCTCCACCATCCCGTCAGGACTCTGGAAAGCGGTGTTGGCGGCGTCGAGCAGGGCCAAACACAGGGATGAGGCGTCGTTCGGCGATGATGCGCCATCGTCCTGATACGTGGCGAGAAGTCGGTCTACACGGTCCAGAAGGCTAGCGCACGAGCCGATCGAGCTGCGGATGGAAGCGGGGGATGGCGCACCCTGCGCACGCGGGACGGGGGACTCCATTTTTGCAGCTTCGTAGGCATTTGTTTTTCCCCCATTTACATCACTGTGTGATGATCGTTTACACGGAAGCATGGGCGACCAGCACGTCTGATCTAGAGTCGGTATGGATTTGCTCACGCAAGACACAAACAATCGCTCACAGATCGCAAAAAGCTCGCCGTGGCGATTTCTTTACGTCCTCCTTTGTTGAGTGGGCGGATGCAAGCGAAATGAGTGCGGGAGCATTCATATCGGCACCGACCACGATCACACACACATGCACCGCAGCCCCGTTCTACCACGCTCAGAGCCGCTGCCGGTCGCTACGCGCCACTCTCACGACAGCTACCCACCCCCTGCACACCCATCAGCCGCCGTCTTGCCCTGAAGCAGCTCGTAAAACTTCCTCTGAGATGCCCACGCACAAGGTCACACAGGCGCACCCATGAGACCCTGTGTGCTCCGCGTGTCTCTGTGTGTTCACTCACCTGCCATGCCGCCAGCCTTTCGGCTCTCGGTCGGCCTACTGCGGGTCTCGATGGCGACAGGGCGTCACTCAACGCCTGCATTGCCTCACTACTGGCAGAATCGGCACCACCACGACGCTGCAGCCAATGACACACACATACACATGAAGCCGAGATTCAGAGCCCTCGGTGGCCGCCACCGCTCCCCTCCTCTCCTCCCCTCATCACCTTTGGCTGATAGAATTTGCTTCTGATGAGGTCAGGTGACCCCTTCCCAATCTGGCTTTGGCCACCACCATCAGGCGAGCCCTCCCCACTCAGACGGCTCGACGGGTCGACCGACGGCGACCACGACGAACGCAACCCTCCCCCTGTGTCCTCCTTTCGCCCGCCCGCCTTGGCGTGACCCCCTTCCACGCCCTTGGGGAACAGCGGCACCGACTCGGCAAATGGATCGGCCGGGGGATCGCGATGGGTGAGAGGGGGGCCCTTCCCCTCCCCCGGCTTGCTCTTGTGCTCAGGGGAGGCCGAATAGAGCAGCGACGACCTGTGGGTCAGCGGGCGGGGCGAGAAGGGGTCACTGGGCTTCGACCCATCAGCAGCACCACCTCGTGACACGGGGGGGCGCGCTCCGTGGTGTGTCGGCTCCTTGTGAAGGTGCTGGCGAGCTGAGAGCGCCATGGAACCACCGACCCCACTACTGCTGCCGGACAGCTTCGCCAGTCCGCTGAGCCGTAGCCGATTGATCGACGGCCTCCCCTTGGATGGCCGCAACACGCGCAGCACAGCCGCAGGGTCTCTGCTCTTGTCGTTGGCTGATCTCTTGGCTCGCTGGGCCGCAGGCTTGAAGGTGGGGGAGTGGAAGTGGGTGAGCTTGGGGCTTATGTCGTCCCGATCGTCGACCAGCTCCTTCTGTGTCGATGGAAGCGATGAGTCGTCGGCCAGCTGCGCCGCTCCTCCGTCCCTCTGATAGCGCACGGCATATGGCGACGGGTCCATCGCGTCCTTCTCGGTCGCCACCACGACGCTGGCCCCCTTCTCCTCTTTCTCCTCCTCTGCAATGGGCGGCATGGGCTGCAATGAGTCCCTCGACGACTTGCCGCTGTCCTCATTCTTGGCCCCTGGATGCTTCAGCTTGGCCGCCTTGGTGCGAGAGGGCGATGGATACAGCTCGTGGGCGAATGGGTGGCCGGGCAGGGACCGCAGCGATGTGGCGGACGGTGGCAGGGTGTTGTTGGAAGGGGAGGGGGGGGAGGTGCCGGCCTGACGTGTGGCGACAGGAGGGGATAACTTAAGGCGGCGGCCGTCCTCTGTCTCTGTCTGGGTGGCGGTTTGTGTGGCGTGTGGGGGAGGGGGGTGCTTCTGTCTGATGAGCTGGCGGGCCACGTGCAGGTCTTGGTGCAGCTGGAGGATGGCCTCTTCAAGAGCCTCCTTCTCCTGCTGGGCGGCCTGCAGCAGACAAGCACATCGCCCAACATGTGGAAGTGTGTGATCACACGTATGCCGTGTGCGACCTCTGCCTGCTGGAGGGCCTCGGCCTGTTGTCTGTCGGCGATCTCGCGGTGCTCGGCCGCGGCGCCCTCCATGGCCTCCCTGAGCCGCTCCATCTCTGACGTCACTTTTCTCAGCTCGCGATCGCGCTCCGTCACACACCACTCGAGCCGCTCGTTGGCCGCCTCCAACACATGCACCTGGCTGTGCGCTCGCTCAACGTCCTAAAACGACCAAAGTCCGGTGTACACATTGCCCATGTTGCCCGTGTGAATGCTCTCACCTCGATCAGCCTGCTACGCTGGTCTTCATGGCTCATCAGGAGCTGCTCCCTCTGGGCGCGTTGGTCGGCTAGGTCGGTGGTGAGGCGGGCGAGTGCGTCGGACGCTGTGACGGTCATCCGGCTGCTGACGTCGGCCAGAGTACGGTAGAGGTGCACCTGTGCCGAGAGGCTGCGGTTGTGGGCCTCTGCCGCCTTGGTGGTGTTGCGGGCGATGGCCAGCTGGTTGGTCAGGTCGTTCACCACCTTCTGGGTGTCACTCTCAGTCTGACACACACGAGCCACAACACCCATGCATACAGACAGACGGACACACAGGAAGTCACTACTCATGGATACATACCCACCCCGACGTGTGTGCCTCACGTGCCTCACCTGTTGTATCTGTTTGCGCAGCCTTGTGACCTCCTCGCGCCACTCGTCGCCCTCCCTATAGCCGCTCTCCCTCACTCCCCTGCTAGTCACCCAACCCCCTCCAGCATACGACGCCACCTGCCGCTCCCGGCTCGTCTGCGACGGTTCACGCGAGCCCGACTGCGATGTGGGCGTGAGGCCCAATGTGGCCAACACTATGGGTCGATCCGTCATGGGGACGGGGCGGCGGTCGTGTTGCTGCTGGAGGGATATGGTTGAGAGGGGCAGACGGGGGACGGTGACGCGTTGTGGAGGGGAGGGGGAGGAGACTGGCGACTGGTAGCCGCTGCTATGCTGCCCGGGGTGGTCGTCTGCGTCTGCGTCGGGGCCGGAGTGTCCGAGAAAGACTGTTGTGCGTGCAGGGGAGCCGCCGACGCGGCTGCCGTCATCCTCCTCTACTTGGTCCTCCTCATCCTCCCCCTCACCACGAGTGTGCTCAACGGCATCCCTGCACACACACGTTAGTTAAACACACAGCCACACAGAGATGACATGCAGGCAGCGCCGCACCGCACCATCAGTAACCAACCCATGTGTGCCCGCTCCCCCACCACCCTCCCCCAGTCACTCACCCGGCAGCCGGCCCTTGATCTTGATGAGTCCCACCCCGGGGCGAGAAGAATGGCGAGAGGCTCGACCCCGTGTAGGACTGGATGGTCTCGTCGATGTCGGCCTCCAAGTCGTCAATGGCAGACGCATGACCTGCCCGGCCCTCCTCTGCATCTCCATACCCACCACCAGCCGCCCTCTCGAGTATCGTGGATGAGCCGATGTCCTGATCCGTTGCATGGTCAGCTTCAGCCGGTTCATCTCTACTGCAGGGCGCCGGGACGACGTCCGTCTGTGTGGATTCGCTCTGCTGACGGGAGCATGGGGCGCTCTGCCGCTGCTGCTGCTGCTGCTGTCTGCGATGAATAACTGCTACGGCTCGCCTGCATGAGGGCAGCACAGAACGCAACGGGACGCATGAAAGGCTGTGAAAGGCAGATCTGCCTGCCTGTCTGAGGCTAAGTGCGTGTTACATACTTGAGTTTGTGTGCGAGTCCTTCGAAGCGGTCCAGCTGGTCGTTGCTCAGCTTCATCAGGGCATCAAACGCGGCATCTCTGCTGCAGCCGCTGCCGCTGGGTTCTCCCATTTCTCTGAAAACCAATGCGAGCTGCGATGCTGTGTTTTCCGATGTGTGTTTTGTCAGAAGTGCAAGTCGGTCCAGGGTTTAGGGTCTAGGGTTCATAGACCGACGATCCACTGATCTGTGAGACAGGACGGCTGTTGAGTCTTTGTCCGTTCCATGAGACAGGCCATGGCGGACAGGACGTCAGACGGGATGGACTGACGCATACTACATGTCCTACGTGGACTCTCCACAAAAACCACAGACCTTACGTTACATTGACTTAATCCTTTATCCGGGACTGACCGCCCGGCAGATCCTCTCTTCACCATTCTCCCCGACTCTCTCCCACCTATTCTTACATGGGCGCAGCAATCTGGTTTGTGTTTTCCGCCTGATCGGCAGTTGGGCAGATCCTAACA